CTTCCCTTAGTTACATTCCCAGGGGAAGTGTTTGGGAAAGAAACAGAATCAAAATGCTAATGGGGTTAAATACATGGTAAAAAGAAGCACTCTGCCTTTCTACTTTGAGAATGAATTATGGCATCCACTGGAAAAATTTATTTCTGACCAATAACCAGAAGGACAATTTTTTCTTCTATCCAATACCATTTGTGTTTGCTGGGCCCTTGACCACATCGTGCCGGGGGCCACCAGCTCGGCTCTGTGGCTTTGTCGTCCCCGTCCCTGTGCTGAGCGCCTCCGGGGTGATGTCCATCAGCTTCCAGTCTGATGAAAATGCGACCTTCAGAGGCTTTCAGGCGACAGTCTCCTTCGTTCCTGAAACAGGTAAGAAGATCAAGGCACCAACTCCTTGGTCCCAAGTCTCATCCTCCTGATGTGGTAAGAAGGGCAGCTTGTGGAGCCCCGCGTGGACACAGTCGACCCTTTTTCTGAGGGGAGGGGTGCAGGGGGAGGGGAACTACTTTTAATTATGAAAACTCTTAAAGGAAGTCAGGTAAGTGTTTTCATACTGTAACAAATCCTATGTAGATGCAATTTTAATTTTTTTCAAATGTTCTATAAATACAAAAAGACCAACTTGGATATAGCATACAAGTGTACTTTGTTTTCTGGTGTAGATGCAATTTAAAATTGAATATAAACTCCAGGGAATTAAAGAATACTTTCTTTTTTTATTGAAGTACAGTCAGTTTACAATATTGTGTCAGTTTCTGGCATACAGCACAAGGTTTCAGTCATACATATAAGTACATATATTCCTTTTCATATATTTTTCATTATAGGTTACTGTAAGATATTGAATATAGTTTCCTGTGCTGTACAGTAGAAACGTCTTGTTTGTTTATTTTATATATAGTTAATAGTATCAGTCAGCTCTTCTACACGCAGCAGGTCTGCTCTGTGAAGTCACCATGAGCACTGAGTTTGTGAATCCTGAACCACAGCTCCGGGGGAAACACAATGTTATGTTCCTATCAGCCTCTGGTTTTATGTGTATTTCTGTTCAAAATCATATTTAATATATGTTGTTGATGCATTAACATTGAACCCATGGCCAGGACCACTGTGACGCATGCCTGAACAAAGCTTATGGATCACAGCTATTTCCTCTGTAAGATACCACCCAGCCTCTTTGCACTGAGGAACACTAGATGGCACTTAAGCACTACGTTTAGGGCCATTGCAAACAGCAAAATCACCAAACAAAAAGCACAGAAGTGCAAGAAAACACAAAAAATGGTGCTAAACAGACCACGGAAAGGACGCTTGTTAATAGTATGGGAGATGAAACCCAAGGGCGGAGTCGCCTCACTAGACCTCAGCCAGGACACAAGCATCAGGGGACTCTGTTTTCACTGCTCTGCAAGTATCCACGAATGACCACGAAGGCACCAAGAGTATTGGGTTTTCAGTTACAAATAAATGTCAGCAAGCAGGTGAATTCATAGATAAGGAATCCCCGAAGAATGAGGATCAACTGTGTGCCTGAATCTTGGCCTGCCCTTGCTAGATGTGTCATCTAGGCGTCATCTAAGGTTCATCCCCCTCAGCCTCACAGTAAGAGAATGCTGCACGCCTGGTGAGACAAGTGGGATTAAGTCAGGCAAGGTGTGCTTGGCCATGAGCAAGTGTGCTTGTGACAGCTAAGAAAGGCTCAGACGTGTGAAACATCTTCACCAGCCCCCCGCCCTAGACACTTGAAGATGCAGCTCCCTTCCAAGCTCCCACACCCACACTGTCCACATCCCACAGACCAGGTATCGGCTTCTCAAGTTGTTCATTCGTACTAGGCAGTGAGCAACTACTTAGGACAAAGCCGGGTTACAGTTAAAATGCTCCACTTTCCAGTTAAAATACCCACACAGTTCAACTGAATGAGATGCCTCAGAATTCTAACAATAATAGTTTTCTGATGTCCCCAGTATTGGCCTTGTTTGTGTGATCTGAGCTATTGTATTGTGCTTGTGCCCAGATGTAAACATCTCCAGATTAGAGAATGAATCTGTGTTTCTGGAGACATGGAATGTACCACCTGAAGGACCCAGCACTTCTGGTAAGCTGTTTTGGAGAGAGTGACCATGAGGTGCAGAGTGTGTTAGGGTTCACCCAGAGAACCCCCCAAAAATACATTGGATCCCAACCTCCAGTGTCCAGGCTCACACTCTGTGACCTTATTTGAAGATAGTGTTTACAGAGGCAGTCAAGTGTGGGTCCTAATCCAGAATGACTGGTGTCCTTCTAAAAGGGGAAGTTTGGAGAGAGGGACGCACACAGGGAGAACCTCATATGGGCATGAAGGCAGAGATCAGGGTGATGGATCATCCACAAGCCAAGGAATGCCACAGACTGCCAGCCAACCGCCAGATGCCAGAGGAGAGGCCTGGGCCCGATTCTGCATCGCCACCCTCGGAAGGAATCAGCCTTACCAACACCTTGATCTCGGATCTAGTCTCCAAGACTGTGACACAATAAACGTTTGCCTTCTAAGCTTCCCTGTTTGTGACATTTTGTTGTAGCAGACCTAGCAAGCTAATAATAATTTCTTCTTTCTTTGGGGGAGTCCTCAGTTCTGCTTTTAAGGCCTTTCCAACTAATGATGTCAGGCCGACCCAGATTTTTCGGGAAACTCTTCCTTACCTAAAGTCAACAGACTAGGGACTTTTATTACATCTGCAGGATCCCTTCATAGGAACATCTAGGTGAATGTTGGATTGAATAACCAGGTGCTATTACCCTAGGCAAGTTGCCACATCAAAAAAGCCATCACACAGAGCGGTATGGGATGTGGTCATTGTCCCTTTTGCTCAAAGTAACACTGAAATATTTTCTATCACAAGAGTCAAAATTCCCCATCTTGAAGGATTCAGTCAGTGGGAATGGCTAAACAGTGCGCCAGACTGTGATCTGACTCACAAGATCTACCCACTGGAAGAGGAGTGTGTGTGCTGCTCTGTCTTCATGCCGGTGAGCACTGAGAAACGCTGGGCCTTCTCTTTGCCTTGTTTCCTCCATGGCGTCTACTGACATGCACACGTGCCATCCACGTCCCCAAGGAAAATACGGTGCGCGGAGCACGCGGAGGCTGACGGTAAGGAAACTCATAGTTTGCCATTTTGATAGTCAAGAGAAAATTCCAGCACCTTATTTTTGTTTTTTAAATTTTAATATTTATTTATTTTAGTTTTATAAGTTATTGACACACAGGGCACAGAGCAATAGAGAGTGTGTGGGGTGAGTATTCCTTTTAATGAAGAGGGATAGAAGCAGTTGGAGTCTTTTTATTAGGCCTTCTTGGACCTCATGATGCATAGATATCATGGGTGGAAACTCTGTAAAGCGGGTCTTCAGTGGTCCCTCCTCTTGGCCATCACGGGGGTACATTCAGCAAAGCTGTTACTCTCAGCCTAAACCACATACAACATTCTCCAAGGCGTCTTATTACAACATGCGGCAAGATTGGTTCATCATTTTATCCCCAGCAGCTACCGCAGTGCCCAGAACATGGGAGCTGCCGGATAAATATTTGGTGAATAAAACTAAATAACCCACAAATAGCTACCCCTGTAAAACTGCAATATGGGAGACTGGCCTGGTCCTTATTCACCGAATTCACACCTACTTTAGGACCTTCTTCCCTTATTCAAATACACATAAAAACTGAGGATGGACAAGAGAAATAGTTTCCCTATGTCTTGTTTTCAATAGCTCACCTAACCTAGATTACTTAAGTCATCCAATAAGCAATTTTGTCCTGCACTTTTTATTTTGAAATCTTGAAAATCTACAGAACAGGTTAAAGAATAATACAAGGAACTTCTGTTTATCCTTCACGTATATTCATAACTTGTTGACATCCTGTCACATTGGCTTGATACTCATTTGGTGTCTTCTCTGGGCAAATCTCGATACCAGAGCCCAGGCTGTGGGGGAGGCGGGTACCAAGAGGAGCAAGACAGGTACTAACCTATCTTTAAGAAACTTATATCCTCTTTTATTTTATTCATTTACTTTTTAAAATTGAAGTACAGTCAGTTACAATGTGTCAATTTCTAGTGTACAGCATAATGTCCCAGTCATGCTTATATATTCATATATTTATTTTCATATTCTTTTTCGTTAAAGATTGTTACAAGATACTGAATATAGAAGAACTTCTATCCTAATCATGAAATTTACATGTACAAATAGAGAGCTGATGTATGTAAAACTAAGATCATTCAAAAGTAGTATATGGTGTTACGTGCCAGGGTAGCAGTTAACGCTTCAGGGGAGTAGTGACCTGGACAGCTCCTGACGTGTCTTCTGTGGTTCTGCTAGTCTGTTTCTTTTCTTTTCTTTTTATTGAGGTATAGTCAGTTTACAATGTTGTGTCAATTTTAGTCTGTTTCTTGATCTGGGTTCCTGTTGTACTTTTGGGAAATTCATTCTAAGTACTTTCTTACTGGAGTAGTTTGCTTTATCTATGTTATACTGTAATAAGATTCACAAGAAAAGGGAAAATGTGCACAGAAAACCGCAATACAAGAAAAGACTGAAGTAGCTCGTGGATGAGATGATTAGGAAACTGGTTTTGATTTGGGCTCACAAAGATAAATAGAATGTCAGCATTATTCTATTTGCTGTGGGGAACCCTTGGAAGGTTTTGATCAGGGGAGTGACAAGATCAAAACAAGCACTTTTTGGTGGTTAATTTGGGAGTGAGAGGAGGATGGAGAAAGAGTAACCACAGGGAGAGGAGTCCAGGTGAGCAATATTGAAGACCCAAGCTCAAAGGTAGAAGATGGAGGCAAGATACACTGTAAACTTAGGATGTAAAGTGTTTGGAGACTAAATTATTGGGGCAAAAAAGAGGAGGGGAGAGGGTGAAGTTGGTATTTTACTCTTGGCTGAAACATTCACTTATAGTGTGTATATATATGTATAGGATACAATAAGCATTTCTCATTATTCCCAGATGTCTATTAGAGTTCCTGGCACAGGTAGATGCTCAAATCTGGACCTGGTGGTGAAGAGGATCCATGGGTCATAAGGATGTGTCTTCTTGGCCCCTTCCCAGGTGGGCTCTGCGGAGCAGCTTCCCTCCCTGCTTCCAGGTCCCGTTCCGGCCAGATTGTGGGAGACAGGAGGCCATAGTCAGCTCATGGCCGTAGCAGGTCAGTCTGCAGATTGCCACTGGGCATCTCTAGGAACACCTGGATAGTCACCCTGATCCCTGCTTCACCAATACGTAAGTACGCCCAGGGAATGGAATATGGTGGGAGCTGATGGTTAAAGTTGGCTAATCATTAGTTCTTCTGCTAAAGCCTCTGATATCTATCAGCGGCTACTGTTGGCTTCCTCATTCACCACCATCACGGGCAGTCCGCCTCCCAGACAGAACTTAAGTTCCTTGAGTGCTCAGGCAAGTTCTGCCCCCTCACGCTGCGCTTCTAGTATATTTTAATTAAACATGAGGCTGATTGTTGGGCAGAGATAGATTTATTTTATCATATCTGCCCTCCTGGGAATTTTGGATCAGAAACTAATGTTGAATTTTGTGAAATACTTCCTGCATCTATTGAAATGACTAAATGATTTTCTCCTTTGACTTATTAATATATTAAATTCATATTAATGGATTTCCTAACATTCCTACATTCCTTAAAAGAATCCCACTTGGACATGGTACATTCATATTTCAGTGCACTGCTGGGTTCTGTTTAGTAAGATTTCACTTCGATTTTTGCATCAACATTCATAATTGAAATTGACCTATAGATCAATTGAACTGACCTATGTGGTCAAAATGTGGTGTGGAGAATACTGGGAATTTCCAAGGTCCTTTTAGGGGGTCTGTAAGGTCAAAACGATTTTCATAGTAATACTAACATTATTCTCTTTCACTCCCATTCTCTCATGAGTGTGCAGTAGAGTTTTCCAGAGACTATGTAAATGCGGTTTCTCAACAGATTGCATGTGAAAAAGCAGAGAGAAAATCCCATCTGTCTTCTGTTTAGCCAGACATTAAACAGTTTTGGGAAAACGTGAAACAGTACCAGTCTTATTTAAATTTTTTGTTTTGAAAATGTAGTTATTTGAATGCATCTTCTTTATGTTAATACCTAATGGTTTTGTTATGATCATCCTAATAATGCATAATCTAAAAAAATTCTGCTTTAATTTCTAATATGTTAACTATTGATAAATCGCATGTTACTCACATAAACAAAAACTCTTGAGAGTTCTCAATGATTTTTTTCAAAGTGTGAAGGTGTCCTGAGACCAGAAAGTTTGAGAACCACTGGATATAGTTTTCTTTCCATCGCCTGCCTTTGTCAGAATTGGGTATCAGTGCTCTTCATGAAAAGAACTGGAGAGCTCTCCTTTTTTTTTTAATTGAGGTATAATTGACATATAACATTAGTTTCAGATGTGCAACATAATATTTTGCATTTGTTTGATACTTGTCTTTTTGCAAAGTGGTCACTGCAATAAGTATAGTTAACTTCCACCAGCATACATGGTTACGATTGTTTTTCCTTGTGATGAAAACTTTTAAGATCTACTCTTGTAGCAACTTTCTTTTAGAGCTTTCCTTTTTGCTCTATGCTTTGCATGAATTTATAACAGAAGAATAAACAATGACACCATGTAATTACATATACTAAACATCTATTTCTTGAAGACTTAACGGTAACTTTCTCAATTTCCTTCCTTGTTATTGGTTTTTAGGTTTAAAAAATACATCCTCAGTCAATTCTGATAATTTATAATCTCCTACTAATAGCTATAGCATTCAGAATTTCCTAATTGCTTTGTGTTGTACAAAATATTTCCTTATGCCTCCTGTTTTTGTGATATTTTCTACTTTTCCAATTTTGTATATTTTAAAAATCTTTTTTAAAAATTAGACTAGTTAGTGTCTTGTCATTTTATAGAGATTTTATTTTTATCTTAGAAAACAGTTAGGTTGTTGGAATGACCCTATTTCCTCTGACTGCACCCTAACGAGTCTCTTCAGCTGACCTGGACAGACAGGCTGAACAGAGGCTGGGGACCGTGGCTCTGAGAAATTTCTTGCAGATGACAGACAGGCACGGCTATAATCCGTGCTGACATTATAGTGAAGCTGCAAGGCTTGATTATGTTCCCATTAGAGCTCTTAAGTACTTGAGTGACGTCGGACAGACTGCTTCATGTTTCTGAGCCCGAGGATCTTCTATGTACATAGAAGACAGAACATTCCCTAGAGCCTTGCTGAGTCGCTGGCTGCTGCCTTCACTGCGATGGTCAAGATGGTGACCTTGCTTTCCTCTGATTCCCGGCCTCCTTAGAGAACTACTCCTAACCCCATATTTTTTAATGAGGCCATATCTGAGTTTCTTTTTCTTCTCACTTTCAGCTGCCTGGGTGATGAATGCAAGCATCCATGATTTGGCCAAAGATTCCCCTTGGGTCAGAAGCATCAGAGCCTCCCTTCTCTCCAGCCAGCCTAGCCACCAGCAT